ACTAAGGGACAGGTGGGGAGGGGAGATCACTAAGGGATGAGAGAGCACTAAGGGACAGGAGAGGATGACAGAGCACTAAGGGGCAGGAGGGGAGAGCACTAAGGGAAAGGAGGGGATGGGAGAGCACTAAGAGACAGGAGGGGATGGGAGAGATCTAAGGGACAGGAGGGAAGGGGACAACACTAAGGGAAAGGAGGGGAGAGCACTAAGGGACAGGAGGGAAGGGGACAACACTAAGGGACAGGAGGGGAGAACACTGAGGGACAGGAGGGGACGACGACACTAAGGGACAGGATGGGAGACCTCTAAGGGGGAGGGGGAGAAGTGATGTTGCGAAACTGAAACCTACAATGCATCCTACACTAACACAGAAACACACCATTCTTCCCTTACACACACAGAAACACACAATGCATCCATTACACATACCTCACAAACACACACAAAATGCAGCCCTTGAACACATAAACAAAAACACACAATGCATCGCTTACACACACACTGCTTCTCTTAATGCATCTCTTACACACACTCAACAAATTTTTGTTTGCCTAGGGTGGCAAATATTCTTGCACCAACCCTGCCTAAGAAGCACATCTAATGGCTGTCTGAGTGACATTAAAATGCCTGCAGGGACAGGCTTTACACACCAGGACAACTACATTAAGCTGTAGTTGTTCTGGTGACTATAGTGTTCCTTTTAATGTAGTAGTTCTGGTGTCTATAGCCTGTCCCTGAAGGCTTTTCAGTGTAAACACCACCTTTCAGTAAATACAAATACACAAAAATAAGTCCTGCGCTTAAACTCCTACTACAGGGAGTGCAGAATTATTAGGAAAGTATTTTTGAGGATTAATTTTATTATTGAACAACAACCATGTTCTCAATGAACCCAAAAAACTCATTAATATCAAAGCTGAATATTTTTGGAAGTAGTTTTTAGTTTGTTTTTAGTTTTAGCTATGTTAGGGGGATATCTGTGTGTGCAGGTGACTATTACTGTGCATAATTATTAGGCAACTTAACAAAAAACAAATATATACCCATTTCAATTATTTATTATTACCAGTGAAACCAATATAACATCTCAACATTCACAAATATACATTTCTGACATTCAAAAACAAAACAAAAACAAATCAGTGACCAATATAGCCACCTTTCTTTGCAAGGACACTCAAAAGCCTGCCATCCATGGATTCTGTCAGTGTTTTGATCTGTTCACCATCAACATTGCGTGCAGCAGCAACCACAGCCTCCCAGACACTGTTCAGAGAGGTGTACTGTTTTCCCTCCTTGTAAATCTCACATTTGATGATGGACCACAGGTTCTCAATGGGGTTCAGATCAGGTGAACAAGGAGGCCATGTCATTAGATTTCCTTCCTTTATACCCTTTCTTGCCAGCCACGCTGTGGAGTACTTGGACGCGTGTGATGGAGCATTGTCCTGCATGAAAATCATGTTTTTCTTGAAGGATGCAGACTTCTTCCTGTACCACTGCTTGAAGAAGGTGTCTTCCAGGAACTGGCAGTAGGACTGGGAGTTGAGCTTGACTCCATCCTCAACCCGAAAAGGCCCCACAAGCTCATCTTTGATGATACCAGCCCAAACCAGTACTCCACCTCCACCTTGCTGGCGTCTGAGTCGGACTGGAGCTCTCTGCCCTTTACCAATCCAGCCACGGGCCCATCCATCTGGCCCATCAAGACTCACTCTCATTTCATCAGTCCATAAAACCTTAGAAAAATCAGTCTTGAGATATTTCTTGGCCCAGTCTTGACGTTTCAGCTTGTGTGTCTTGTTCAGTGGTGGTCGTCTTTCAGCCTTTCTTACCTTGGCCATGTCTCTGAGTATTGCACACCTTGTGCTTTTGGGCACTCCAGTGATGTTGCAGCTCTGAAATATGGCCAAACTGGTGGCAAGTGGCATCGTGGCAGCTGCACGCTTGACTTTTCTCAGTTCATGGGCAGTTATTTTGCGCCTTGGTTTTTCCACACGCTTCTTGCGACCCTGTTGACTATTTTGAATGAAACGCTTGATTGTTCGATGATCACGCTTCAGAAGCTTTGCAATTTTAAGAGTGCTGCATCCCTCTGCAAGATATCTCACTATTTTTGACTTTTCTGAGCCTGTCAAGTCCTTCTTTTGACCCATTTTGCCAAAGGAAAGGAAGTTGCCTAATAATTATGCACACCTGATATAGGGTGTTGATGTCATTAGACCACACCCCTTCTCATTACAGAGATGCACATCACCTAATATGCTTAATTGGTAGTAGGCTTTCGAGCCTATACAGCTTGGAGTAAGACAACATGCATAAAGAGGATGATGTGGTCAAAATACTCATTTGCCTAATAATTCTGCACTCCCTGTACACCTGAGAAGCAGCAACAACCATAGCACACATCTGCCCGCCCCATGTGTTCCCTATTAAGGGTTAATAAGTATGTAGGGGTTTATAAAAAATACCCCTCTCAGTCTCATTAGAAATTGCCTGAAGCTGAAGGAAGCAGGTTGAATTGTTAGTGTAGCACCCACCTAAGAGGTTTGCCTTGATGTGACAGGTCGGCTTACATCTAATGGCCATTGGAGTTACTAAATAACCTCCATTTATTTAAATATGCATAGGGATTTGGGATAGTGCACAGGTAACTCTTTTTCTTGGTTTTTACTGCATTGAATGTTCCCTATAGAGATGTGAGATGCATTGATTCAATGCTTCTCTATGATGATATACTGATTGGTGCAGCACAGTGTTTTGCTACGCATAAGCAATAGTCTCCCAATGCTTTCGAATGGGAAAGCAGTGGCTAGGCTGAGGTCATCAAGTCTGACTATTTTAGCTATGGAGGCAGGGCCAACCACTGTGAGACCGGCATGTGATCAGAGGAGGGCCGGTAACATAAACAGACACAATCATTAACAGACAGAGAGCAGCGGTCAGTGATTGCCTGAAGTGTTCTTTTACAATATGTTGTATATTAACAGTGGAAGTACACCAGTAGATGAAATAAAAATAAAAACAGAAGAGAGTGCTCTCTATACTGATAAAACAGTAATAAAAGTAACAAAAGGAGTTATAATCACAAATCAACAAAAGGAGAGCAAGATACAGTTTTGCTCAATCCTATAGGGATTAGTTAGTGTGACGAAGTGCCCTTCGCCACTTGGTCCTGGAGAGGCCTGCTTGCCAGCCTCCTCCCCTGTGACTATGACTCTTTCATGTATTTGGCTTTAAAGCCCCTAGTCTGTACCCATTATAGGTGCAGGGTGTGTGTAATGTAATTGTTTATAGTGTGTGTGTGTGTGTGTGTGTACTGTGAAATGTATTGCCTGCTCTCCTGTACTACTGAGGTTTGCTACCAACTAGGTGGGCTTGGCTATGGAGCTTGTCTAGTGCCCTCTGTTGGTAGCAACAGCAATATGCACTACTGAATTGCAAGACTGGTTCATTTGCATATTCGGGTAGATTTGCATATTGCTAATTCTGCAGGTAGGTGAGATATTTACTGTTAAATATGGTCTCCCCCACCCCTTTAAAAATGTGCCATTGTGTTGTGATAAGTCACTGTTTGTTGCCTGCTATGGTTTGACTGTTTTTGATTTTATTGAGGTTTCACAACAATGTTATTGTGGTGAACCTATGGGCTGGTCCCAAGGGAAATAAAGGTTTAGACAGATCTTCTTGACCCTCAATATGTAGCCTTGTCTTGTTATTGGAAGGAACTGCTATATCACACTGGGGATTGCTATGCTCTGCATACTCCCCTGAGCTTTTAATCACTTAGCTGTTTTAAGAGCTGTTCCTGTTACACTCTCCTGGAGGAGAGAAGCTGATCCAGGGTGGAAGGAAGATGGTGAGACTCCAGTTAAGCTATGGCGGTTGTGGAGTATGCGGTGGTTGTGGTGTCTGCTGCAGTGTTTGGAGTCCTCAGGAAGTGCTAGGAGCATCCATCAACAGAGGGTACTCGGTCGGAGTACAGGGAGCTCCGTTACAGTTAGTATCTTTCCCACCTTGGAAATTGAAGTATGGGATCCTCTGAGTAAAATCTTCAAGGGTAAAAATAGGAATGTCAGAGTAAAAACTTTTTTTTTTAGAAAACAAAATAATAAAATCAGTAATATAATGTAAATTTAACTCTACCTACCCAGACTCCCTACCTTTTTAAGGCTAGCCTTCTTCTTGCTCCCTGTGCCGGTCACCTCATTTCCTGGGTCGGCTGCTTCTTTACTCCCTGGGCCGACCTCCTCAGCTGAATGGGCTGACAAACACAAAATTCCTAGTCGCTATGGCCACGTGGCACCTGTGATTTGTCGAGCCCTGACTTGGCCCCTCCAATACCAGAGTCGAGTATAAACATTTTTATTTTTATGTATTTTACAGTATGAAATCTAGTCCATGAAGCCTCATTAACCTGCATTTTTTCTCTAGTTATGATTACTAGTTGCTGTAGAGCAGTGGTTCACGACTTTTTTTTCACTTGAGTACCCCTTGGCAGCACATTTCCATAAATGGTACCCCTCATATTAGCAAAATGTTTGTAGTTAATATACACTGAACAGAATTATAAACACAACACTTTTGTTTTTGCCCCCCTTTTTCATGAGCTGAATTCAGAAATCTAAGACTTTTTCTATGTACACCATGGGTCGTCAACCTGGTCCCTACCACCCACCAGTAGGCGTTTTGGGATTCCAGGTGGGTGGTAGCAGAATCCTCCCTCCATCCATGAACGCTCTGTTCATCTCTCGCGCACTAAGTGTAAGGTTGCAGAACGCTCGCACACGGGAAGCGCACGCATGTGTGCCTGAATGCACATGTGCGCCCATATCGCGCGCGTGTATGCACATACGAATGCGTGCGCTCGTGAACAAGTGTAACACGTGAGGAAGGGGCGGAGTTGGAGTAGGTAGGGGGATACACAATAGCAGGGAGTGCAGTACTTTGAAAATCGGAGAAAGAAGGAGCAGAGTACTTGAAGAATAAGAGAAAGAAGGAGCAGAGTACTTGTAGAATAGGAGAAAGAAGGAGCAGAGTACTTGTAAAAAAGGAGAAAGAAGGAAAATAAAAAAAGCAAACAGAGAAATCATCTGAATATCACCGAAAGAGGAGACCTTCGTTTGTTCATTACAAAAATCGAACCAGATATCAAATATTTAGTCTCGCAGCATCAGCCTCAAGGATCTCATTCATCACTAGTAAAGGTAATTTCAATTTACTTTATTGTTTTCTCATTAAACTTTATAAAGTTAAAACATTATAAATATGCATAAAGTAGAAATAAAAAGATAAATGTACGAACATTTTTTTTGCTAAAAAATATTCTGCACTTGCGCGAAAACTGGTGGGGGTAAGGAAATTTTTCCATCAAGAAAGATGCATTAGTGGGTGGTAGGTAGAAAAAGGTTGACTACCCCTGATGTACACAAAAGGACTATTTCTCTCAAATATTGTTCACAAATCTGTCTAAATCGGTTAGTGAGCACTTCTCCTTTGCCGAGATAATCTATCCACCTCACAGGTGTGGCATATGAAGATGGTGATTAGACAGCATGATTATTGGACAGGTGTGCCTTAGGCTGGCCACAATAAAAGGCCACTCTAAAATGTGAAGTTTTATCACAAAGCATAATACCACAGATGTCGCACGTTTTGAGGGAGCGTGCAATTGGCATACTGACTGCTGGAATGTCCACCAGAGCTGCTGCCTGTGAATGGAATGTTCATTCCTCTACCATAAGCCATCTCCAAAGGCTTTTCAGAGAATTTGGCAGTATATCCAACCGGCCTCACAACTGAGAAACAAACACTGACACACATATAGATACACATAAGCAAACACTGCCACCCATCTAATACACATACTGACACACTTGCAGATACACAGATACAAACACTAACATACATGAAGATACAGACACAAACAAAAGCACTAACACACATTCAGATACACAGACGGAAACACCAACACTCATCTAAATACACAGACTCACTCAGATACAAACACTGCCACACATACAAATACACAGACAGATACAAACATTGACACACCATACAGATGCACAGACACTACATACAGACACACACACAAATATACAAACACACATACAGGTCAACATTTTTGCTAGCTTCAAGTTTCCTACCTTTTGGGAGCAGAAGGCTGGCTTCCATTGCTAGAGCTGTTGGGAGTTAGGGGCTTCCTCCTCTCCTGCTGCTGGCCTTTCCGGCACAGCTGGGAAAAAGTGACCACCTCTCACTTTCTCCCAGCACTTATTGCAGATAAGGAGAAGCCCCGTCACGCTGATAAAGCACCCCAGTGTATGACCAGCCCCTGATGGGACATGTGCATAGGCCACAGAATGGGCCCTGTGGTTCCAAACCTGTGCAGTAGAACACTGGCGGTAGAACAGCAATTACTGATATATTTTTTTTTTGCTTACCCCTGGGGGAACTAGATGTATCTATGGGGGTAAACATATCACGCTTGGGAACCGCTTCTGTATAGGAACAAATTTCTCTGCCATAAGCCACAAATCACTAATTTAATGAATGTAAAGTTGCAGGAAATGCCAGCTCATGCCTGCTTTGAAATATTACAGGAAGTTTCACAGAGTGATAGCATTTTTAAAATAAGGGAGGAGGAGGAGTGAATGGACTCCTGCATTTCACTGTTAGCATTACATTAGTAGTACAGAGATTGATAGACATTGCTATAGCAGTTTTAAATACCTTTATTTTAGAAATGTATTATTTAACTGCATTTACTGAATGTAAGCATTGTACTCAAATGCAGTTTTTTTTTTTACATTCTGTTGCAATTTTTAGTAAGCTGTACTGTTTCTCATGCCTTCCGGGTCTTTGAAAATACTTATCAGCAAGGTTTTTGACCATTTTTATTTAGATATTTTTGTCACTCCTACCGTATGTGAGAAAAATTGCACTTTTGCTTTTTACTAATATTTGAGACCCTGTGTGGAATGCTGCAAGATAAAACACACTGTATACTGTCTAAAGCTTTCCATTTCTCAAATACATTTTATAAAGGATGAATATCTAGAAAAACAATTGTATAAATTTACACATTTATAAATTGTTACGTTCTTCTGCAAAGCAATCTATATACAAAAAATAACGTGTTATAGAAACATAGAATTTGACGGCAGATAAGAACCATTCGGCCCATCTAGTCTGCCCAATTTTCTAAAAACTTTCATTAGTCCCTAGCCTTATCTTATAGTTAGGATAGCCTTATGCCTATCCCATGCATGCTTAAACTCCTTTACTGTGTTAACCTCTACCACTTCAGCTGGAAGGCTATTCCATGCATCCACTACCCTCAGTAAAGTAATACTTCCTGATATTATTTTTAAACCTTTGTCCCTCTAATTTAAGACTATGTCCTCTTGTTGTGGTAGTTTTTCTTCTTTTAAATATAGTCTCCTCCTTTTATGACACGTTTATATGCCAGGTATGCATCCCTTTCTTCAAATAAATATTGTACCAGTATTTTTTCAATAAAAAAGTGCTTGGTAGTAAAGCGGTTAAACAGAAAGAATGTCCCATGTCATTTTCGGCCCCCTTTAGTCCACGTTATTCCAGTGCTCCCATAGACGCACTTTTGGGGTCGCAGGCATAATATGGACCAATAAAATATTACATGGAGATATTTAAACTTCCCTAGCCCTATCTACTGTGCCCTATTGTGGTTTCTGTTCCCAGCACCCTTTAGTGCGGGTCTTCATCTATTGTGCATTATTCTGGTGTTGACCTTCGCTTTGTTACTGATCCTGAGTTTATCTTTAACCCTTTCCTATGTTGCTTGCTTGTTTGATGACTGTGTACCTGACTATGACTAGTTCTCGTTGTCTCTCCGTTACCCTGACCTCAGCTTCTTACGACTACGCTTTTCTCTCTGTCTAACGTTATGTCCAGCCAGTCTAAAGCCCGGTAATACGTTATTTCCTTGCTTCGTCCTTTGCTATCCTAAACTCTGCGTTGTGGGGTTTTACCTCATGACATCTGCAGTGCCAAGCATGCTACTCATTCATAGGCTGAGAGCATCAGCTAATCATACTTAGCCAAGGAATTTGATTATGTGCAGCAACATTTGCACAGGATTTATATTAGCCAGTCTGGACTTCTAGTTTGGGTGTGGCTGATGACACCCCAATGATGCTGCTAAAAATGGAGTCTAGCAGTTGAAGGGTGAAAGTCTGTATGTTGAGCATTTCAAAGTGAAGTGCTGCACATACAGACTCCAGTCAGACCACCAGAAGTCCTTGAAGTTGTCATGGTGACTGGAGCGCTTTAACAACATTCTTAAACATAAATCACACTTACACATCTATACTAACCTTATTAGTCACAACCAAACTTTTTTTTTCCTTTCTATACTGATCCATAATGTTGGTGAGTTAGGGAGTCATTCAGAAGTTAGCATCGATTAGGACAACAAGCAGCAGCAGTCACAGGGGTCAGCGACTTAAAAAAGTTATATTTAAGTAGCATTGAGAAGAGTGAACATATCACAAACTCCCTTTTGCTTTGAGACAGGATGCCACACACAGCTGTACAAAAGAGCCACAAAGCAGTCATTTTCTTTATATTGGACCTTGAAGAGAAAGTTCCCTTTCATTCATCCTAGTCCCATGACTAGAAGTGAGACCATTTCTCAAGGTCAAGTCTCATTTCTATGTAGCCATTAACCCCTTAAGGACACATGACGGAAATATTCCGTCATGATTCCCTTTTAGTCCAGAAGTTGTGTCCTTAAGGGGTTAAGAGCTAGCCCCTTTCGATTTGTCAAGTCTTAAAATGTATAAACTATTACCTTTTTATGCATAACAGTACACTGATGAAGTTGTGTGCAAGAAAAAAAAAAACCATTCATTAATATACTTTAAATATAATGACCACCACACCAAGTCACAATTTCAGAAGGATTTATTTATAAATGTATAATTAAAGAAACAAAATTGCTTGTATAAGTGCAGCACAATGCAAAACCCCTTTCAACCAACTATTCCACAAAAGAAGAAAAAAATAAAAATGTGTAACTATATATAGTTAATAAACTACCTGTTATAGCCATGGGAAATAAAGCCCACACAGATCAAAGTATGTAGTGCTGGGGATCACAAATGCCTTCCAAGATAAAGTTTCATAAATCCTCAAGAAATCTGCTACATTATACTTTAGCAAATAATGAAAAATTCCTAAAACCCCCAAAATTAATTCTTGCAAAACACAAAAAAAGTAACGTAATGAATTTAGATGGAATACACTAAACAGTTTAGAACAACTTTCTAAGTAAACTAAATATGTTTTGTAATTCACTAATGAACCATTCTTTAATTTTGTTCATATCATACATTAAGCAGCATTGGTTTATATATCAAATGCCAAACTAAGCATACAAATGTAATAATCACTATAAGGGACACTCCATGCTGATCCACAAGTTTTAATGCACTGTGGAGATGATTAAAAACTATGCAAAAAGATTTGTTTTCTAAACAAGTAGTAGCTTACAGTTGATTGTGCAGACTCTGCTTGTTACTTTTAACAGCAGGCAAGGAAAAGGCTTAACAATTTTCAACCTATCAGTGCCCTGCCATACACATTTCTGTTACTAGTCCCATGAAGAGGATTTAAAAATGTGCAGTAACTCCATGAGCACTTGGGTCAATTCCAATGCAAGTGCTCTCTCTTGTTGCTACTCTGTATGGTAGTGCCTGAAATTTTGAAATGCCTTTAAACGACTGATTCCTGTTTGAAAGTGAAGCTAAATTCTACAGGTTTTACCTGCAGGATTTTTTTTTTATAAATATAAAAAAAGTTAACAGCATCCATAACAAGCAGCTGAAAGCTTTAATATACTTTTAAGTAGTAGGTACTTGGTGTGTACTTTTCAACTTTGTAAACTAAATCACAGAGACTACAAAGAGATTGTCAGGGTTATTTACTAAAGTGAAAATTGTAAGAAATCCAAAGTGAATTGAAAATTTAAGACCAATGTAGCCAAAATGGAAGTCCAGCAATTTTGAGGTTAGACAACCACTTTAGCGAATAACCCTGTAAGGGTTTTTAGAAGGAAAAAACACACACAAACTGGACTTTTTGGGGTTTAAAATATACATTAATATTTCTAATTTGTTAACATGGTAGATTATGAAGGACATACACAGACTTAACCCCTTAAGGACCAAACTTCTGGAATAAAAGGGAATCATGATGTCACACATGTCATGTGTCCTTAAGGAGTTAAAGGGACACTGTAGGCACCTAGACCACTTCAGCTCATTGAGGTGGTCTGGATGTTGTGTCCCTTTTGCACTTTAGCTGAAAATTGCAGATCCAGAGAGCCAGACAGCCACTGGGGGCGCTTCCGGAATCATAACGGACTTTTGGTCCGTTATCTGACGCTGGACGTCCTAATGGACCTCCAGAGTCAGATTTTCCCCATAGGAAAGCATTGAATGATGCTTGCCTATGGGGAGGTCTCAAGTGCGCATGCAAATTAGGTCTCCCCCGCCGGCTCAAGTTGGTGGGGTAGGAGCATGGGCGGAGCCTGACTCAGAGCCAAGGGACATCAGCACTGGATTCTGGTAAGTGGATGAAGGGGGGTACTCCAGGAGCCTATAGTGCCAGGAAAACGGGTTTGTTTTCCTGGCACTATAGAATCCCTTTAACATTTCTGATCAGTGTATTTTAACTTGAACAGAACGCTCATGTAAGCAAGATTTTAAACAGAATGTATGTTAATATGATTTTCAAGTCAAAAACTGCATTTTATTTTCATATAATTCTGATAACTTACTTCAGATTGCACCAAATATTTTACATTTTTTTTTCCCATTAGGGGAGCTTTTTATAAATTCAAGTCACACTCAATAAGATGAGGAATGTTCATAAATGTGAACTGATTGATTGGGGAAACTAACATTGGGGAAACTAAAGACTGCTAAATTACATGACATGACTACTTGGGGTATAATCATCTGAACTATTCTGTGTCCTACGTACCACCATCTTCCCCTCTTGGCTCATGGCTACTACTACTAGGAGCTGCTTTGTCTTTGCGCACATACAAGAGTGTAAAATGAGGACGTTTATGTAAGATCCCACAAGTTCCCATAGATCTCTGCAATTATGCCCAATGAGATGCCATAGACATTTGTGGTGCATGTGGTACAAAGAGAAGATGCTTTTTCCAATCAGTTGTCATTGGCAGGGTAGAGCAAAGCAAAAGCTAACAAACATTCAAACATGTGCCAAAATTGTCTATGCTGTTAAGTATACCTTTTGATTATTATAGAACTCCACTAAAATTTCAACACAATATGTACAGTATACATAACAAATTTGGCTTTCTGGTAGGGTCTAGTGGAAATTTTGAACCCTGATTATATTTTGGTATTTTCATGTCAGGTGTTAATGTTGTTTTCAAAAGTCAATTGTATAGGTTTGTTAATAATTAATTCCTGCATTACTAAACATTGATAATTAAAGCAGCAATGCACACAATTATATTATTGTGTTCTAGGAACAACCCCAACCACAGTGTATGCTATCAGTACGCCATGATATTTGGATGTGACCTAAAACTAGAAACTGATCTTTCAATTGATACAGTCACTAGGGATTGGGCAAGTGCCATATTTAAAAAGGTGTAGGTCTATGGGTAAGCCTATAAAAGAAGAAAAGAAAAAAAAAACAATTAAAAAATCAAACAAGCATATATTTCAGTCTACTATAATGTTTACAGTCTTCTACCCTTTCCCAAGAAAAGGCAGTGTTCTCTGCATTAATTAACGACAGAACACGGGATTAACTTCTAAATCAATTGCTTATCCTATAAACTTCCTAAGGCTAATTATTACGGAGTCTTTGACTCCTGGCCTTGTAGACCTCAATGAGGAGGTCTTTGACATATTGGATCTCTCTTTCAATTGAATCAGACTTTTCTTTCAGCTCTCTATTCCTGATTTCTAGACCTTGACACTCTTCATCCAGTGCATCATACTCTGCCCGCTTTCGCTGACGGTACCGCAGAGCTGCTGTCTTATTCTGATCTCTTTTCTTTTGTTTACGGTCACCTCTTTGATTAATGGAGGCAGTGTTATTGGAGGTCACAGTGGTAGGGTATGGTGTAGGCCTGTTCAGGTGTTTGTATTGTTCTGGCGGGTCAGATGTGTAATTTATCGCATTTAGATCCTGCAGGTTTTCTCTAGAGAAATCACTTGATACATCAGTGTACAGATTTAGTAGCTCAAGACAGCCAGAATCCAGAGTTTCCAGTGAAACAGAAGGAGATGTCTGGGTTTCTGAAATGTAGGCCTGGAATTCTACTTCCTTCGCACCAAGTTGTTGATCAGATGTGGGGAAAAGGAAGTGCCCTTCAGAAGATGGAGGGGTGCATGGAGCCACCTGATCAGGGGGCATTGGAAGCCCAGGAGATTGTGTCTCCTCCAGGAAGTAGTCTTCCATTTGTTCTAACTCCTTCTTTAGAAGAGTGGCCATCATTTCCAAATCTGGGGCTGGTGGGCCTGGCATTGATGAATCCATAGTTCCTGGAAGAAAGCATGAGAAATCCACCCTTTCGGTCATCCAGTCTGTGAATCCATCTCCTGTAGAACAAACGAGATAAAGAACAAATTAGCTTAAACTCTTCCCATCTTAGAGACAAAGTAATTCTAAAGCATGAACACCAGCCAGGTTATTTTCCAGATGCTAATAAAACATGGTGTCTCTTGATGCTCGCAACACCACTGTCTCAGCTGGAGTACCAAGATCTCTGTACAGTGCATACTTGGTAATCCATATGTTGAATAAAATAGTGACCCAGGGGAAGCACCCCACCATCAGGATTTATAGTTAGAATGGGGGAATATACGGTTGGGATGGTTCAACATTAGTGAGACTTACTGGAGTATGGTTTAGGATAAAGGACACTTAGGAGTAGAGGATACCTCAAGATGTTGTTTACTGTAACTCAATTCTCAGCAAAGCAAATGCAGTCTTGGAGAGTTTATAGTTTCAGCCCACTGTATCTTGAAAGAGGGTACCCTGAATGTCTCACCCATTCTAAATCACTACCCAAAAGCCAGCACCTAATCTGGCTACAAGACTAGTGCAAAGGGTCTCCTGTATCATTTTCACTTTGTAGACTACAAAAATGGTCTTACAAAAAGGCTCATAAGACCTTAGGTAGTTTATTGACTAAACTCAGAATTGAAGCACACTGAAATCCAAATGGCTAAATGTAAGCTAAAATAGCCAAACTTAATATAGCTCAGTAGGATAATTTTTCAAGATCAGCTATTTTAGCCTATATTTTGCCATTTGAATTTCAAATCACAATGCTCATTGGTTTAGTAAATAAGCCCCCATGTGATACATTGGGTTTCCACTCTTACAACTGGTAATTTGGACATGTGATCTACTAAGCTAATTCAAAAGTATGCACAGACCAATCATCAATATCTATCTATCTGAAATGTCTCTAATTTGGCTCTGCATCTGTGTGAAAAAGTATACATAATGGGTATTGAAGAACTCATATGTAAGAGTAATACATTGTGCTCAGTTACATCAGGTTTATGAAATACTTCAGTTCTGATGACATGTCCAATCCGGTACCTTTAATAAATTAGCACTGAGGCCATGGTGTATGCATTGCAAGTGAGGAGCACTGCATTCATTCAATCATCACGCTGTTCATAAAATTCCAAATGTCTTTAATGGCTGCCAATCTGAATATAAATTGCAATGTTTTTACATTAAAAGAACATCACAATGAATTAGTTAAAATGTCTGGTGCCTCCAGGTGCCGTCTTATATCCCAGTAACACATTTGAATAGTGCAACACAGTGTCTCTAGGCACCTGTTAGCTGCCTTTCCTTTGCTGCTGGGCCAATGCAGATGCATTAGCTTGAGCAGCAGTGATAGGCAGAGAGCATCAGCTGATGCTCTTGGCCTATCCCTGGTAAACCATAACGAGTAAACATACATACGTCATTTTTAAAGCTGTAAATGTGATGGGTGACCACTTATAGGTTGATAGATCAATTAACAACTGAAATTTAGTTCTGATTAACAAACCAAACACTAACACCACTGCAAAGTATTCACAATACATAAAACAAACTTACCGTATAGTTAATCATACAACCAAAATACAGTTGTGCTCAATGTTTGCATACCCTTGGAGAATTGGTAATATATGTACCATTTTTAAAGAAAACGTGAGTGAGCAGGCAAAATATGTTTATTTTATTTCTTATGGGATTCATATTAAACTGTAGATTATAACAGAATGGCACAAGCATAAAACAAAATATGGCAACAAAGAAAAAATGACCCCTGTTCAAAAGTCTTGACCCTTAGTTGGTAATACTGTGTATTGCCCCATTTAGCATCAATTACAGCTTGCAGTCTTTTGTAATAGTTGTAATTCTATTAGGGGTAATTCTTGCATGTGGTATAGCTGCCCATTCGTCTTGGCAAAATGCCTCCAGGTCATGCAAAGTCTTTGGTTGTCTTGCATGAACCGCACGTTTGAGATCACCCCAGAGTGGCTCGATGATATTAAAGTCAGGAGACTGTGATGGTCACTCCAGAACCTTCACCTTTTTCTGCTGTAACCACTGGAGGGTCAACTTGGCCTTGTCATGCCTGAAAGTTCAAGAGCGTCCCATGAGCAATCTTTGTGCAGAAGAATTCTAATTGTCTGCCAGTATTTTATGATAACATGCTGCAGTCACCTTGTCATCAATTTTCACAAGATTCCCATGCCTTTAGAGCTCAGCTCCCCAAAACATCAGTAAGCCACCACCATGCTTCATAGTGGGGATGGTATTCTTTTCACTTTAGGCCTTGTTGACCCCTCTTTAAACATAGCGCAAATGGTTGTGACCATAAAGCTCTATTTTGGTCTCGTCACTCCAAATTACAGTGTGCCGGAAGCTGTGAGGCGTGTCAAGGTGTTGTCGGGAATATTGTAACCGGGCTTTTTTTGTGGCATTGATGCAGTAAAGGCTTCTTTATGGCAACTTGACCATGCAGCTCATTTTTGTTCAAGTATCATCGTTTTGTTCTCCTTGAAACAACCACAGTCTTTTTCCAGAACAGCCTATATTTCTCCTGAGGTTACCTGTGGGTTTTTCTTTGTATCCCGAACAATTTTTCTGGCAGTTGTGGCTGAAATATTTTCTGGTCTACCTGACCTTGGCTTGGTATCAAGTGATACCCGAATTTTCCACTTCTTAATAAGTGATTGAACACTACTGACTAGCATTTTTCATCCCAAAATAAAGTTCTATTACCTTGTTACGCAGGTCTTTTGACAGCGCTTTTATGCTCACCATGGCTCAGTATGTAGCCTGCTCAGTGCATGTACATGACAGCTAACAAACTCATTAACTATTTATACACAGACACTAATTGCAATTTAAAAAGCCATAGGTTTGGTAAATTAATCTCTAATTGCCTTTTTAACCTATGTGTGTCACCTTGTGTATCTGTAACAAGGCCAAACATTCAAGGGTATGTAAATTTTTGCTCAGGTGATTTCTGTTATCGTTATGATTAAAACAGGAGCCAAATAACTATGTGATAATAAATGGCTTCATATGATCACTATCCTTTAATAAAATACTTTTTTTATTGCACGATTAGTCATATTTTCTGAATCAATGCAACATTTCACAATTTCTGCCAGGGTATGCAAACCTTTGAGTACAACTGTGTATTAGAGGGATACAATAGGCATCAAAACTACTTTAGCTTATTGAAGCAGTTTTAGCGCATAGATCATGCCCCTACAGTCTCACTGCTTAATTCTCTTAAGTTAAATCACATTGTTTCTGTAAATGCAGCCCCAGCCAGACCTTCCTTGCCTGTGATTCACACAGCCTGCATTAAAAATAAACTTCAAATCAGATGTTAATTTGCTTTAAAAGTTTTTCTCTCTTGTAAATGTAACTTTAATCACACACAGGAGGCTCCTGCAGGGTCTAAGAAGCTATCAACAGAGCAGGAGATAAGAAATTCTAATTTAAACAGACTTTGTAATAAAGGAAGTTTAAAGATTAGATCTCTCTTTACAGGAAGTGTTTAGGAAAGCTGTGTAAATAACATGCAGGAAGGTGTGACTAGGGATTTAATTCCTAAATGGCAGAGAATTGAGCAGTGAAACTGCAGGGGCATGATCTATACACCAAAGCTGCTTCATTAAGGTTGTTTTGGTGCCCATAATGTCCCTTTAAATAACCCCTCAATGTGCTTTCTGTTATTAAATGCACCCACACTAAACAAACTAGCATAATCAATGTGTTACACAAAAAAAAATTAAAAAGTATATTTTATGTAGTACACTATTTAGTAGATAATCACAAAGACTGCTTTGACAAAACCCCAGGAGGAAGTGCGAAACGCGTTAGAATACTCTTTTATTGGTAATCACCACACTGTGGACACACCCCACTCAATACACAAAGTCTTTGGGGACATGGAGTTCAACCCAAACCTCCTGGGACAACACAGCGGTCGCGACTGATAGTCCTAATTTAGAACCAGACATGTGCAATACAGATCCGTTCTTGCATTGTTCCTGCATACTGCATAGGATGCAAACAACAGCTCAGCGGATGGCATTTATCAAGCACATTAGTGGGTTTAAAAACCTTAATAGGGTCTTACAAAATTCAGTGTGTTATAATAAACATTATTATAGTATGCTATTTATTTCCTTTTTTGCATGGAGCTGCTTCATAACAGGAAGCTCTATTTTGTTGATTAATTAGTAAACTGTGTATTACATAAAGATAATTTTACCATACTGATTGGACTAGAATGTTTGGTGTGTATGCGCTTAGTAACATACAAGCACTTTATTGAGAGGTTATTTAAGATATTTTGATTGTATAAATAACACTTTACATCGGGTATTGACAAACCCCAGGCGCCAGGTCGCCATGGAGATTAGGAAATTTCGCTTGGCGCCTGGGATGAGTGAGCCCCTTCAGCCCCCTAGCTGACTGGCAAGCTGAGGTGACAGGCGGCTCATAGTGAGCGGATGCCGGAGGCCGGCAGATCATGGTGAGCGGAGGCGGGCGAGTGGGTGGCCGGACAGGCAGGTGGCTCATAGTGAGCGGAAGCGGGCGGCCAGACAGGCAGGCGGCTCATAGTGAGCAGAGGCGGGCGGCCGGACAGGCAGGCAGCTCATAGTGAGCGAAGGCAGGCGGGAAGACAGGCAGCTCGTATTGAGTGGAGGCGGGCGGGCGGACAGGCTGGCGGCTCATGGCGCAAGATTAGTTGTGGCAGGCGGCTGACTGATTACGGAGGCGGCGAGGGAGGTGTGATCTTCATGCTCCCTCACGCGCCATCCAGTGATGCCGGGAGCCGGATTATGACGTAACTCCGGCCCCGGCTCACTAAACAGCGCATGTGTCTGCCGTCTGTGAGTGTCTGTCGGTGAATGCATCTGTTTAGGTGACCGGCCCCTACAATCACATGGGAATGGTGCTTTTACTGACCTTTTTTCCAACGTCGTACTGGTCTCGCCATGGCTGAGATTATCATCACTTGACGATCTAAACCAATCCAATGCTTTTCCATATGAAAGCATATGGAGACTATTGCACATGCGCAGAAAAACACACTTGAATCAATGCACCCATATGGATAGCATTAAGAGTTTCCATGTAGATCAAGACCAGGAATGCAGCTCTATAGACCATGACTGCCACTAGAAGTGTTACTAGGCTGCAACTGATTCCTAAATTATTTAGCTGGCTCCTAGATTCCAAGCAAATCTGTCAAGCCCTGCTCTACACCTTACTTTTATGTTTGCTCAATTATAGGCAGAGATTATTATCAATACAAAAGCTTTTGAATAGCAATGAATCAGCTGGAAGGCACCTAAGGACACTCATTTTGTGTGAAACCATTTTAAAAAGGTTTAACACTTACTATAAACTTGGTCAGATTGCATTGTTGGACACGCTTCTCATCTTTTGGAGTTTCTTCAGACTATTATCCCCCCCCACTTACTTACACAATTATCTCAATTTTAGACAAGTTCACTAATGACAGAAGCAGGACACCATAGAGAGGAAAACCGACACCAGAGTCTACTCTGCATGAATCACACTGATCAGACTTCCTCTCTTCTCCCCATCAAGATGTTGCAAAGTGAAGAGATCTTCCAGCTGCACATGTGTACATCTGTAAAGCATGCCCGATACACTTTTCCAGCATTCCCAGGAATGGGACACTGATTGGTTAGATCAGTGCTCCTCTGGAATGAGTGTGGAAAACATAAGAAGAAAAAAGCAGGTAGCATGCAGAGTGAGGCAACTGTCTCAACAAACATCGATTTGTATGAAAAACTAAAAATTGCACAAGTAAAAAAAAAAATGCAAAAATTTTTACAGCAATTGGTATACCTTGTGGGATATCATTTTTTCAAATGGTATACATTTGTAGATCAATTTTAATTTGTGAGCAGCTAAAATTCTCTTAATTTATATATGGGTCCAAATATTAAAATAGGACATGGACATGTTTCTAAATTTGACATCTGCAAAACCATAAAATGCTGGCAAAGATATGCATGGGGGTATTAATGTACTCAGGAGATGTAGCTGAAAAACATTTACATTTTCATTAATGAAGTAGGTCATTAAATATATATAAAACAATCAAAATCATAAGTGTGTGAGATAGTTGGTGAAGTGTCAAAAACCCTAGGTAAATGCCCCAGGATGTCTACTTAAAGGACACTATAGTCACCAGAAAACTACAGCTTATTGTATTATTAGGCTTTTTGCAGTAAACGCTGTATTTTCAGTGAAAAGGAATACCTCCACTGGCTACTCGTTATATGCCTACTAGAGGTGCATCCTGTAGCAGTGCTGCACAGTGTGATATTCAGTGTCTCTACCCTCTGCATGGAAACACTAAACTTTCCTCAAAGAGATGCATTGATTCAATGCAAAAAGTTTTTTTTTTCACTTAAATTTCCTAAATAAACTAAATAAAAATGTCACAAAGGGGTTATTATCAACTTTTAAGAAAAAGATCTAGGTTACTCAACAGAAAAATATATCTAAGAAATAGCTAAACAAATACTATGCTACAAGTGTTTTACTAACTAAAACAACTGATTTGGAAAATGTATCTAAAGTTTACAATTTGTTTTTCACACCCAAGAAATAGAACTTACCTGCCAGGCACTCTGGTCCATCCTCATGTGTGTTCACAATATTTTCAATGGGCACTGATAAATGATCATAGTGATTCTTATGTACAGGGATCTTAAGGAAATCTGCCCGCCAGTGCAAAGTGCTAACTGGCAACATAGACATTTCCAGGTCCACGTTTAGAGCTGTCAGGAGAGACATTTTGACCAGGAATATTTACGCTTGCACCGGAGAAAAACCTAAAAGCCAAATTCCTGCTGTAACTGGCAGCGGAAGGCGCAGAGTCATATAGGAGCCTATGGGAAAGAAAGATGAAAAAATTAAAAGAATATTCTGTCACTACATTTTTTTATTATTTATTTCAAAGACAATAGTGGATACAAGATATTTGTATTTGTTTTCAAGGTTCTGAGATTTCTTAAGTATTAATGTTCAAATTGCAAATATAAGACGGAGGTAAAAACTTGGTATCTATATTTCAACTAGATAACTCGCTTCCTCAAACACAACTCACTCCCACACTTCACCTATCTGAGAATAATGGAAGCAATATTTAGTAGTTTTAGTAGGGAGGGCATGCACTGCACCAGGTGGTACCCAGTGTGGTACTGTAGAACACTGGTGGTATATAATTTAGTTTCCTGTTTTGTGCTGCTCTCCCTGTCCAATCAGCTTTGTGAAGTACGGCTGGAAACTTCTGAGATTTACAGAACAGACTGGGTAGGCAGAGCAACTGTAGGGAGAAAGAATAGCTTCTGCTCTCACCTTCTGCCAAGTGCAGACCTGGGGTCATAGCTCTCATGACAGAAGCTCTCCATACTCGACCACCAAGCATGTCCACCCTTCTTGTTACTTAGGGCCAGGGAAGTAATATTCTGTATTATTTTTTGTTTTACATACTACATACTAAATATTTTATAAATAAGAAATACACATTGCACACTGCAAAAACATGCTCACACACAAACACAATCAATCTCATGCAGACACGGGCTGCATCCACCCTACAAACACACATTCTACTATTAATATTACCTTGGAGGTCCATAGAGCAGTGGCACCATGATGCAACTTTCTATAAGCCAAAGCACTCTGAAGGCAGATACACCCTAATCCTAAATCCCTCTTGCACCAAGTTCCTTCATGCTACTCCAATTTAAATACTAACCCCCCAAGTCTACCCTAAAAAGACAAATGCTATCCTAATCACCAAATGTTACCTTTATTATAAAACACTTTTACCATATATTTTCACTAAAATGTAACCCCTTAAGGACTGAGCCAAATGTACAAGTTTTGATCAAAATAAAACCCAAACAAAACTTGGAATTTGAATGTATGTCTGTTCAACCGTAATTCACCTCTTTCATATTAAGTGCACCCACACTTATTATATATCATTTTATCCAGGAGAAATAGGGCTTTCACTTAACATGAAATATTTATCTATGAAAAATAATTTAATATGAATTAAATACAAGAAAATGTGAGAAATTAAGAATTTTTTTTAGTTTTTTTATGTTCTGCGTGACATTTTAACTGTGAATGTCATAATACTGTTTGCTTTCACTGCAATAAAATACACATATTTGTATTCAGCGATGTCTCACGTGTAAAACAGTACCCCCTATGTACAGGTTTTATTGTGTTTTGGGAAGTTACAGGGTCAGGTTACATTTTTTACATTGAAATTTGCCAGGTTGGTTACATTGCCTTTGATACAGTATCGAAGCCCAGGAATGAGAATTACCCCCATGATGCCATACCATTTGCAATAGTAGATAACCCAAGGTATTGAAAATTGGGTATGTCCAGAACACCAATTTTGGCCAGTGTTTGTGACTGACTACTAAAAAACTGGCTCCTAACATTTTTAGCTGGCTCCTAGATTCCAAACAAATTTGTCAAGCCCTGAAATAGACATATATGTATATACATATTTCAATTCTACCTGTATATTTATGTAATCTTTTTATATAATTAAGTAATTTTACTAATAATGTGAGGGACAACCCAGGCAGCACGTCCAGAGACAAATTCTATGTTTAACCCTGGAACTTTCCAAAACAGCATAAAACCTGTACATCTTTGTGACAAGTTTTACTGTTTTGAAATACTCATATTTGTGTTCAGTCTCCCAAGTACAACAATACCCCCTATGTACAGGTTTTATGCTGTTTTGGAAAGCTCCATGACGCCACAACGGTTTTTTAAGTGGGACGGCATGAATTCCTGACCCTTTAGTGTTAAAACCACCATTTAGGGGGGCGGGGCCAAGCCAGCAAACCGAACAGACGTGCAGAGCTGTAGCTCCGTACCAACAAGCCCAAAAACAACAGTTAACCGGGTGAAAAATCGCCGGAACACCAACTAGCACCCCACCTACGCAATGGGAAAACGGGCCAAGAAGATCAAGGCAGCCCTGGCATCAGGAACCCGTAATATTGGGGAATACATGCCTCCCGCGCGTGGCGCCCAAGATGGCGGACCTACATGCGGAGGCCTCGTCGGAGGAGGAAGAAGCCTCCATGGACGCCCTAGATGAGATCCCACAAGCTGGCGGCCTGTATATGGAATCCTCGGACGAGGAGAACACCCCAGCCACGAAGGGAGACATTAAGTCGCTCCTCCGCGACATCCGCAAGATGTTCCAGGCGGACCTAGCAATACTGAGAGAGGACATGCTCTCGCTTACAGGGCGCATCAAGGCCACAGAGGAAACATCGGCCCACCTCGAAGCCGAGCAAACCACACTTGCCGCAGAGCAGAAACGGCTAACAGCCTCACAAGCAACAATGACACAGAAACTAACCGAATATGAAGACCGCAGCCGCAGCAAGAACATCAAGATTAGGGGTATCCCTACCACGATAGACAAGACCTATCGTGGTAGGGATGACCAGGAATATTTACGCTTGCACCGGAGAAAAACCTAAAAGCCAAATTCCTGCTGTAACTGGCAGCGGAAGGCGCAGGGTCATATAGGAGCCTATGGGAAAGAAAGATGAAAAAATTAAAAGAATATTCTGTCACTACATTTTTTTATAATTTATTTCAAAGACAATACGTGGGGCGCTTGCTCCAGCAAATACTTCCCCACAAACAGGCTAAGAATATCCTGGTGGATAACATATACAGAATCCGCAGGCAGGGCAGACAGCCCCAACAGGCATACAGCGACATCATTATACAGCTTGTCACATACCTGGACAAAACGGCGATCATGGCAGCGGTCAGGGATCTGCCGTTCCTGTCCTTCGAGAGGCACAAACTGACATTCTATAATGACCTCTCAAAACCCACCATGCAATGGAGGCAAACAATGCGCCCTGTCACCAGCGTGCTGAGGCGGAAGAAGATCCCATACCGCTGGGGCACACCACGCTCCCTTCAGATCACCGCAGAGGGGATAACCCATACAATGCACTCACCAGAGGAAGGCCAATTGTTTCTGACCCAGCAGGGCATTACAACACAGAGGGAATTCAGAAGGGGCAGCCCTAGGGGACAACAATGGGACGTGGACAACATCGCCCCATTCGAACCACGGAGAGACCCCCACCTACCTGAGGCAGATCCAGGGGACTAAAAACCGAGATAACCACCGCATGGCCTCGTGAAAGCATGAGACTTAAATCTTGGTTTGGGACACTCACATCAACCTAATACCTTTATGATTAACATGTTGGAATGCATAGAATGTCTAGTATGTTTAAAAGTTACAGGACTTCCTACTAACTCCCTACGATGGCAGGCGCTAGATGGTAAATACTGCTACCTTGCCATGTTTGTTTTAGCTCTCTCAGGCTGGTAACTCTGGGTAAATTGACTTAGAATACCTAGTGTGTGTAATTGTTATATGACTTCCTGCTAATGACCAGAAGCTGGCAAGCGATAGGAGATGTAGGTCACTACCTTAATGTGCTTAACTCGATTCTCTCTGACTAGAAACTCGAGTTATATTGTCTATTGTTTACGCATAGGCGTGACCACCCACAGTAACGGCCTAACAAAGCTCTACAAAAGAACCTGCTAAAAAGCGGTTAAACTAATTATGGGCACCCCTAACGACCACAGACAGCAGATTACCTTGATCGCCCAGAGCAGATCCCCTTAACTGGCCCAATGCCACATGGGTAGGGGACCACTGTAATTTGCCTCCCTAACGAACTTCACTTAGAAACCTAGTTTGTTATACCATAGCCGGTTACACACTGTGAACCTAACCTGAATCTGCACTTCGAGCTTAACCTGATATTAGTTGAAGACAGACCTAGGATCAGAAATCTGCTAGTATAAAGGGAACCGCCTGATAACTCACCGCTTGGCTCTCCCTGCAGTTATGCACATAACACAACGATAGTAACCCAATGTCCACAAATGCAGTACTCTCACTCTGAGTCTCCCCTATGATTTTTTCTACCTGTCAGGCACAACTTGATGCTTAACCAAAGAGAGCAGCTAAACAGGGGTAAATATCGCATTAACATAAACGTTTTTACCGCTTCAGAAATGCTATAACATAGATACGACACGACAGAATCTTAAACGTGACTAAACCATTCACAAGCTTGACTAGCCTAGCGTGTTTAACCTCAATTATTATTGTTACAACGCCAGTTATTTCCATGTAATCTTTATTTTTTATTTTTATTCTCAAAAAAGAAAAATGTGCTATTTAATCTGCCACACTTTAACTTGTAAAAATTTTATGAAAAGCCTGCAGCTGATATCGTGGCTCTGCAAGCCTGTTGTCAATCCGTGCACAATAAAAATAAAGAATAAAAAAAAAAAAAAACATTCAGCTCCCCTGGCCCATCTAAATATAGTGTAATCTTACCTTTACTCTAGTCTGCTGCTGCTGGCTCTGCCCCTAATCTGTCTGCTTGGCTAACATCACCAAAAGTATTGCTCAAAGCCAATCCCAATGCTTTCCATAGGAAAGCATAGGATTGGTTAAGAATGTCAAGGAGGCAGATCGGGGGCTGAGCCACCACAAGCCAAGCACATCCCTGGCCAATCAGCATCTCCTCATAGAGATGCACTGAATCAGTTCAGTGTCTCCCTAGAGAAGGTGGACACACTGAATGGCATTGCCCAGGAAGCACCTCTAGCAGCCATCTGATGTGTGGCCAGTGGAAGTATCCCCAGTATGTATAGTAAACACTGCATTTTCTCTGGGAAAAAAAACAGTGTTTACTGCAAAAAGCCTGAAGGGAATGATTCTGCTCACCAGAACAAATACAATAAGCTGTAGTTGTGCTGGAGATTATTGTGTCACCATAAATATACTCTCCTCCTTTACTGTGTTAATTCCCTTTATGTATTTAAATGTTTCTATCATACTCCCCGTCTCATCTTTCCTCCAAGCCATACATGTTAAAAGAAAACTATAGCAGGACTCGCCAAATCCCAGGTGTCAGGTCGCCATGGCCATGTTGGCCCATTCAGCCCCTGAGGTGGTTGACTGCCTATAAGTGGAGGCGGACGGCCGGCTTATAAAGAGCATGGGCATGTGGTTGGTTGGTCAGCTAAATGGAGAGCATGGGCGTGAAGTCGGTCATCCTGCTTAGGAGGCTCCTGGCGCATTGGGCAAGGGAGCTGTAACCTCCCTGCTCTGCTCCCTCGTGCGTCCTCCAGTGATGCCGGGAGCCAGAATATGACGTCATTCCGGCCCCGGCATTACTAAACAGTGCTCTATGGAGCAGAGCAGGGAGATGACTGAAGCCCCACTGGACCCCAGGGAAAGCCGAACCACTCCAGCTCCAGTTAGGGACACTGGGTGGTCACCTTAATGTGTGTGTGTGTCAGTGAGTGAGCGTGTCACTGAGCGAGTGTGTGTTTAGGTGACCGGTCCCCCTCCAATCACATGGGTAAGGATTTTTTACTCACCTTTTTACCCTCACGCTGTGCTGGTCTCGCTGCAGCTGGCCCTGCCTCCATGACTGCGATCATCAATCTTGATGATCTCATCCAATCCAATGCTTTCCCATAGGAAAGCAGTGGTAGGCTATTGCGCATGTGTGGCAAAACACCATGCTGCGCCAACCAGATCATTGAATCGAATCAATGCATTTCTATGGGGAACATTCAGCACCTCCATGCAGAGCGTGGAGACGCTAAACGTAGGTGCTGCGTTCTGTGCAGCACTGACCCAGGATGCACTATAGAGGCCATCTGAGTGACTTTCACTAAAAGTGTTACTAGGCAACAATGTAAATACTGCCTTTTCTATGGAGGGACAGGTTATATACACGAGAACAACTATATTAATCTGTAGTAGTTCTGGTGACTATAGTGTCAATTTAAGAATTGTATTTTTGACATTGAAAAACCTGGCTCCTAACTTTTTTTGCTGGCTCCTAGATTCAAAGCAAATTTGTCAAGTCCTGCACTATAGGGTCAGAAACACAAACATCCTGACCCTATAGTGTTGAAACTCATAAACTTATAATAAGCTGTAGTTGTTCTGGTGACTATAAGATCCTTTAACCTTTCCTGGTAAGCTTTACCCTGCAATCCATGAACCAGTTTAGTAGCTCTTCTCTGAATGCTCTACAAAATATCAATATCCTGTTTGAGATACGGTCTCCATTACTGCGTACAGTACTGCAAGTGAGGTCTCACCAGTAATCTGTACAATGGAATGAGCATTTCCCTCTTTCTACTGATAATATCTCTCCCTATGCAACAAAGCATTTTGCTAGCATTTCTACCTACCTTTATGACATCTGGAATAATTCCCCTAAATCCTTTTCCTCAAATGTTGAGGTTAGGACTGTATCAAATATTCTATACTCTGCCCTTGGGTTTTTATCGCCCAAGATGCATGATCTTGCACTTATCCACATTAAATGTAAGTTGGCACAGCTCTGACAATTTTTCTAGTCTACATAAATTATTTTCCATTTGGCTTATCCCTCCATGAACATCAATCCTGTTGCATATCTTTTTATCATCGGAAAAAAGACATACCTTATCATCAAGACCGTCAGCAATACCACTAATAAAAATACTGAAGAGAATGTGTCCAAGTACAGATCCCTGAAGTACCCCACTGGTAACAAGACCTTGCTTTGAATATACTCTATTCACTACAACCCTCTGTTGTCTGTCACTCAGCCAGTGCCTAAACCATTCAATCATATTGGAATCCAAAGATTGCTTTTTATTGATAAGTCTTCTATGTGTGACAGTGTCAAAAGTCTTACTGAAATTTAGGTAAGCAATGTCTACTGCACAACCCTGATCTATTATTTTAGTTACCTATTAAAAAAAATTTAAGATTGGCTTGGCATGATCTATAAAACAAATTGTAAGATTGGTTTGGCATGATCTCTCTGAAGTAAACTGATGTAGTCTCTAATTTTGAAATCCATGTGATTTTAGATGTTCAACAATCCTATCCTATAACATTGTTCCCATCACCTTCCTCACTACTGAAGTAAGGCTTACTGTTCTATAGTTGCACGACTCCTCCCTACTATTTTTCTTGTGAATTGGAACAGTCACAAATTTCAAACCTCCAGGGACTACTCCCATTAACAATGATTAGTTAAATAAATCTGTTAATGGTTTTGCTAGTACACCACTAAGTTCCTTTAATAACTTTGGGTGTATTCCATCAGGCCCCTGTGACTTATTTGTCTTTACTTAAGACAGCTGAAATAGAACCTCTTCCTCTGTAAACTCACATGTAAAAAAATTACTCAGTCTTTTTTCCTAACTGCGGTCCCTTTCCTTCTTTTTCTTCACACTGAACAACACAGGGACATTGCAACAAATAGACCACATTTTTCAAGGAGCAAGCTCTAAAATGCTTAAAGTGACACTATAGTCACCAGGAAAACTAAAGCTTAATGTAGTTGTTCTGGGGAGTATAGTCCAAAAAAAGGGTGAAAGCAATGTAATTGGCCGAGATCATAACTTCTGATGATGTCAGCCAAGGAGGCAGATCAGGGGCTCAGCCATCACCAGCATACTGGAAAAAAGATTTTACTATATTTAGGGGGGTATGGGTGGGCAGATAGTGTTTTTAACACTGCAGCTTCAGGAATCCAATGTCTTTGTTACTGACCCTATAGTGTTTCTTTAAACCTAAAAGAAACCACTGTAATGGTACTACAGGATTAGGCAAGTATGTGCACATCTTGCACTGTCCACATATGTAAAATCCCGCTAGTGTGGGAGGTATGCAACCTAAATTACTGGGATAAATCTTAAAATTACTTAGAATAATCTGATTATTAATAGATGGTAAAAGTCAGTTCTAGCAGAGGCAGGCATCTGCAGATAAATGTCATTATTTTAATCAAATTTGTTCCATTTGGCTGCTGTTCCTCTGTCTGTTGAAATTAGCACATTGCTTAATTCTCTGTCATTTAGGAGTTTAATCCCTTTTGTTTCTGTCCATGCAGCCCTAGCCACACCTCCCCTGAGTATGACTCACACAGCCTGCATGAAACAAAAATTGTTTCATTTTCAATCAGATGTTAACTACTTTAGAAGTTTTTATCTCCTGCTCTGTACATTGAACTTTAATCACACACTTGAGGCTCCTGCAACAGTGCAGGAGACAACAAATTCTAAACTAAACAGAATTTGGAATAAAGGAAGTGTAAACATTAGATCTCACTTTACTGGAAAATTTTGAGAAGGCTGTGCATTACTTGCAGGAATGTGTGACCAAGGCTGCATAAACAACATGATTTAACTCCTAAATGATAGAGAATTGAGCAGGGAGACTGCAGGGGCATGATCTATACACCAAAACGGCTTTATTAATGGACCACTATAGTGCCAGGAAAACATACTCGTTTTCCTGGCACTATAGTGCCCTGACGGTGCCCCCACCCTCAGGGTTCCACTCTCGCCGGGCTCTAGGGGTTAAATTTACCTCTGTCTCCAGCGCCGGGCGGGGAACTCTCCTCCTCCTTCTCGTCGTCATTGGCTGAATGCACATGCGCGGCAGGAGCCGCGCGCGCATTCACCCAGTCCGTAGGAAAGCATTCACAATGCTTTCCTATGGACACTGGCGTCTTCTCACTGTGAAAATCACAGTGAGAAGCACGGAAGCGCCTCTAGCGGCTGTCAATGAGACACCCACTAGAGGCTGGATTAACCCTATTATAAACATAGCATATAGAAGAGAGGGTTAAACGTAGCTGGACCTGGCACCCAGACCACTTCATTAAGCTGAAGTGGTCTGGGTGCCTATAGTGGTCCTTTAAGATAAAAGTTCCCTTTAAAACCTCCAGCAATTTACACTACAGTGACTAACTCCATTTACTCTTTTTTAAACTTAAAGAGACACTATAGTCACCAGAACAACTACAGCTTATTAAGTGTTCTTGCATAGCAAGACCACTTATTGTTATCTCACATATATATTATTAAGTGTTCTTGCATAGCAAGACCACTTAATGTTATCTCACATATATATTATTAAGTGTTCTTGCATAGCGAGACCGCCAATGTTATCTCACATATATATTATTATTATTATTATTATAGCAAATTTGCCACCTAACTCCTCCCACAGTTTTTACACTACATAGGCAAAATTTACCAAAATGTGCAGATTGTTCCCGATCGGATTGCTATTACTTTGTGGAGCGTTTGCGCTGAATGGTTCCGCGGAATATCGTCGTTCTTGTGAAGGCGAAATTTGTCCCATAGGAATGAATGGCAAAGCTAGAGTGGGAGCTGGCAAAAGCTGAAAAATCAGGACATGATTTCTAAACTGCCGCCACTCCCTCATTTTCAGGCCCACCTACACAAATCTTATATCAAAACGTTCAGCTATCCCTGCTGCCAATAAACATGTCAACGGCTAAGCCGTAGTCCTGATAGTTTTCACAATATAATCATTTGTTTGCAACTAACGCCGTCCATTGACATTCATTGAAACTTCACTCTACAAAGCTCAAATTTGAAGTGCAATTTCTAAACTGCGACTGTGCCTTCATTTTTAAAACTTCAGAGACATACTATGCATCAAAATGTAGGTCTGGGTCTCGTGATTCTCACAATATAAAGCTCTTCACTGTAGTATTTATAGTTTTTAAAATACGACCGTTTGAAGATGGCAACCGCCAAAATACTCTGACCTGAGCCAGGCTGCAGCAGCAAGTGATGTCATAGACAGGGCCTTTTGAACACCTGCTAATGTTTTTATAAATGTATGGTTTAATGTAACTGTGCAACAACGTTGCAATTAAATGTGCTATATAAATGATAACAGTTACTCCGCCCACTCCAGTTGTAGACTACTGGTGGAGGCAAGAACACTTCACACAATTTCCCCAGAAATTGCTTAAACTCTAGTTATTATTATTATTATTATTCTTATTATAGCAAAATTTACACTTACACCCTAACTCCCTCCCACAGTTTTTACCTTTCATAGACAAAAATTTACCAAAGCACGTGCAGATTGTTTCGGTCCGGATTGCTATTACTGTGGAGCGTTTCGCCGAATGGTTCACGGAATATCGTCGTTCTTGTGGCAAAATTGGTCCCATAGGAATGAATGGCAAAATGTTCAAAACTAGAGTGGGAGCTAGCAAAAGCTGAAAAACCAGGACATGATTTCTAAACTGCCACCACTCCCTCATTTTCAAGCCCACCTACACAAATCTTATATCAAAATGTTCAGCTATCCCTGCTGCCACTAAACATGTCAATGGCTAAGCCGTAGTCCTGATAGTTTTCACAATATAATCATTTGTTTGCAACTAACGCCATCCATTGACATTCATTGAAACTTCACTCTACAAAGCTCAAATTTGAAGTGCAATTTCTAAACTGTGACTGTGCCTTCATTTTTAATAATGCATCAAAATGTAGGTCTGGGTCTTGTGATTCTCACAATATAAAGCGCTTCGCTGTAGGAGTTATAGTTTTTAAAATACGACCGTTTGAAGATGGCAGCCACCAAAATACTCTGACCTGTGTCAAGCTGCAGCAGCAAGTGATGTCATAGACAGAGCCTTTTTGAACACCTGCTGAAAATGTTTTATAAATGTATGGTTTCCCAATGTAACTGTGCAACAACGTTGCAATTAAAGTATTAACTATGTAAGTAGTAACAGTTACTCCGCCCCTCAGTTGTAGACTACTGGTGGAGGCAAGAACACTTCACACAATTTCCCAGAAATTGCTTTGCTTTCTAGTTATTATTATTATTATTCTTATTGTGTGTGCATAGCAAAATTTGCCACCCTAACTCCTCCCACAGTTTTACACTACATGAATAAAATTTACCAAAGCGTGCAGATTGTTCCCGATCGGATTGCTATTACTTTTGTGGAATGTTTTGCCGAATGGTTCACGGAATATCGTCGTTCTTGTGGCGAAATTTGTCCCATAGGAATGAATGGCAAAGCTAGAGTGGGAGCTGGCAAAAGCTGAAAAATCAGGACATGATTTCTAAACTGCCACCCCTCCCTTATTTTCAGACACACCTACACAAATCTTATATCAAAACGTTCAGCTATCCCTGCTGCCACTAAACATGTCAACGGCTAAGCCATAGTTCTGATAGTTTTCACAATATAATCATTTGTTTGCAACTAACGCTGTCCATTGACATTCATTGAAACTTCACTCTGCAAAGCTCAAATTTGAAGTGCAATTTCTAAACTGCGACTGTGCCTTCAATTTTAATAATTCAGAGACATACTATGCAGCAAAATGTAGGTCTGGGTCTTGTGATTCTCACAATATAAAGCTCTTCACTGTAGGAGTTATAGTTTTAAAGATACGACCGTTTGAAGATGGCAACCACCAAAATACTCTGACCTGTGTCAAGCTGCAGCAGCAAGTGATGTCATAGACAGGGCGCAGACACCTGCTAATGTTTTATAAATGTATGGTTTAATGTAACTTTGTGCGGCCGCGTTACGCAATTAAATGTCTTTATGTAAATGATAGCTTAGTTACTCCGCCCACTCCAGTTAGCGAAGACTACTGGTGGAGGCAAGGAAACACTTCACACAATTTCCCAGAAATTGGCAGCTTTCTAGTTATTCTTATTCTTATTATAGCCAAATTTGCCACCCTAGCTCCTCCCACAGTTTTTACACTACATAGACCAAAATTTACCAAAACGTGCAGATTGTTCCCGATCGGATTGCTATTACTTTGTGGAACGTTTCGCCGAATGGTTCACGGAATATCGTCGTTCTTGTGGAGCAATTTGTCCCATAGGAATGAATGGCAAAGCTAGAGTGGGAGCTGGCAAAAGCTGAAAAATCAGGACATGATTTCTAAACTGCCACCACTCCCTTATTTTCAGGCCCACCTACACAAATCTTATATCAAAACGTTCATCTATCCCTGCTGCCACTAAACATGTCAACGGCAATATAATCATTTGTTTGCAACTAACGCTGTCCATTGACATTCATTGAAACTTCACTCTACAAAGCTCAAATTTGAAGTGCAATTTCTAAACTGCGACTGTGCCTTCATTTTTAATACTTCAGAGACATATTATGCATCAAAATGTAGGTCTGGGTCTTGTGATTCTCACAATATAAAGCTCTTCGCTGTAGGATTTATAGTTTTTAAAATACGTCCGTTTGAAGATGGCAACCGCCAAAATACTCTGACCTGTCTCAGGCTGCAGCAGCAAGTGATGTCATAGACAGGGCCTTTTGAACACCTGCTAATGTTTTTATAAATGTATGGTTTAATGTAACTGTGCAACAACGTTGCAATAAAATGTGCTATATAAATGATAACAGTTACTCCGCCCACTCCAGGTGTAGACTACTGGTGGAGGCAAGAACACTTCACACAATTTCCCCAGAAATTGTAGCTTTTCTAGTTGAATTTGTTCTGGTGAGTAGAATCATTACCTTCAGGCTTTTTGCTGTAAACACTGTCTTTTCAGAGAAAATGCAGTGTTTACATTACAGCCTAGTGATAACTTCACTGACCACTCCTCGGATGGCTGTTAGAGATCCTTCCTGGGTCATGGCTGCCTAAAATGCATCCAAACATTCAGTATCTCCTCCCTCTGCATGCATACACTGAACTTTCCTCATAGAGATTCATTTATTCAATTCATCTCTATGAGGAGATGCTGATTGGTCAGGGCTGTGTTTGAATCATGCTGGCTCTGCCCCGATCTGCCTCTTTGTCAGTCTCAGCCAATCCTATGGGGAAGCACTGTGATTGAATTGATGTCAGCAGACTGCTTGTTTTTCGGAGACAAACAGCATGCAGATCTACAGCTTCAGGCTTGAATACAGTAGGATTTTGCAATATTTATGGAGGCATGAGGGGCCCAAGGGGGCTAGATGGTGGTTTTAACACTATAGGGTCAGGAATACATGTTTGTGTCCCTGACAGTATACTGATCCTTTCATAGTTTATTGGGAGGTGGAAACACGTTATTATGTACCATAGCTACAGTATTTCACAAAAGTGAGTACACCCCTCACATTTTTGTAAATATTTTATTATACCTTTTCATGTGACAAACACTGAAGAAATTACACTCTGCTACAATGTAAAATAGTAAGTTTACAGCTTGTATAACAGTGTAAATTTGCTGTCCCTCAAAATAATTCAACACGCAGCCATTAATGTCTAAACCGTTGGCAACAAAAGTGAGTACACCCCTAAACAGAAATGTCTAAATTGGGCCAAATTAGCCATTTTCCCTCCCCGGTGTCATGTGACTTGTTAGTGTTACAAAGTCTCAGGTGTGAATGGGGAGCAGGTGTGTTAAATTTGGTGTTATCGCTCTCACACTGTCTCATACTGGTCACTGGAAGTTCAACATGGCACCTCATGGCAAAGAACTCCCTGAGGATCTGAAAAAAAAGAATTGTTGCTCTACATAATGATGGCCTAGGCTATACGAATATTGCCAAGATCCTGAAACTGAGCTGCAGCACAGTGGGCAAGACCATACAGCGGTTTCACAGGACAGAGGCTATTTTTAAACTGAGAACAGGCCTCGCCATGGTCGACCAAAGAAGTTGAGTGCACGTGCTCAGCATCATATCCAGAGGTTTTCTTTGGGAAATATATGTATGAGTGTTGCCAGCATTGCTGCAGAGGTTGAAGGGGTGGGGTGTCAGTCTCTCAGTGCTCAGACCACATGCCGCACAATGCATCAAATTGGTCTGCATGGCTGTCTTCACAGAAGGAAGCCTTTTCTAAAGATGATGCACAAGAAAGCCAGCAAACAGTTTGCTGAAGACAAGAAGACTAAGGACATGGATTACTGACACCATGTCCTGTGGTCCGATGAGACCAAGATAAAGTTATTTGGTTCAGATGGTGTCAGGTGAGGAATATAAAGACAAGTGTGTCTTGCCTACAGTCAAGCATGGTGGTAGGAGTGTCATGGTATGGGCCAATATAAAATGATGTGGCACAGGTGTCTGGGGACAGACATGAGATGTGAAACTGTACTAAGTAATGTGAGTGACGAACCTTTGGTACTGAAAGGCTTAAAATAATTATGCATTACTATATATTGCTCACTATGCAGTAAACTGCTTAGTCTAATATGTTAAACTGTTCCTGCTCCGTTATAATAAATTACGTTAGAATATTTCATTATTGTCAAAAAGTAGAAATGAGGATACTAGACAAGATAATATTGGAACAACACCTGGTGACAAGGGACAACCTTACAAACACAATGGCTAGCATTAATATCTTATAGCCTACTGGTAAAGTGCTTTGTTTTCACTCTGATAACAAGGGCTCACTTCTAGTATTGGTATACAATATGTGATTTTATGAGATATGGATATCCGTGTGTAATTTTATGTATATATTAATAAAAAAATACACTTACTATGACGTTATATATAAGATATATATATATATATATATATATATATACACATATTATATATATATAGATATAATATGTGTATATATACATCTCATATATACATATATACATTTATTCATTTAATTTATTAACTTAAGCTATTTATTTTAACTTTTTTCACCAGTTCAGGCAGTCCCCCTGCTGGCAGCACTGTGGACACCTATTGTGGCCATGTGACCGCTCTTTCAAAATAGGACCCCCTGGCGGTCCTATTTTGCAGAGGGGGGACTGTCTGCCCTCGAGGCACTTAGTACAGGCAGAGCATCGGAAGCCTGCCTGATGGCTTCTGATGCCCTGCACTACACTTTCGGGCGCCACGTGGAGCAACCCGGAAGTGATCGCTCCGGGGGAGTGATCATCCGGTGTTCTCCAGCAGCCCAGCAGTGAAAGGGGGTACTGCAAGATGCCCCGACATCCAGGCATCGCTGCAATATCGTTAGAGCGTCTGGAAGCAATCATGATCACTTCCAGCGCTCTAATTCCCCGCTGACGTATCAGATACGTCCACGGTCCTTAAGGACCGTTTTTTGTCGGACGTACCTGATATGTCCGAGGTCGGGAAGGGATTAAACATTATGGTTCCAGAGAAACTGCTTTATATTGCAGCACTAAGTATGCCTACAGTGGCTGTCTACTAGACAGCCAGTAGAGGGCTTCCTGAATCGAAACAGACCTTTAAGGACATCCAGCGTCAGATTTTTCTCCGTAGGAAAACATTGTGTCAATGCTTTCCTATATGGAGGTCCAATGCGCGCAAGGCATTTGTGCACATGTGCATTAGCACCCACTCGTTGCGGGCCGTCGGAGGGGGCGGAGCGTCGGCCCAGCGTCGAGGGACAATGGCGCTGGGAAAAGGCAAGTAAATAAAGTTTTTTTTTTTTTTTAACCCCTTCAGGACAGAGTCCATAGTACACGTTCTGATCAAAACAAAACGTAAACAAAAACTGGAATATGTCTGTCCAACCGTAATTCACCTCTTTTATATTATATGCACCCACACTTATTATATATAATTTTGTTCAGGAGAAACAGGGCTTTAATTTATCATTAACTATTCATATATGGAACATAATTTATTATGAATAAAATTTTAAAAAAGTGAGAAAATTTTTTTTTTTTTTTTAATTTGTATTTCCATCTGACATTTTAGCTGTTAATGTCATAATACTGTTAGGTTTTACTGCAAAAAAATGCCTCACGATGTCTCACGTGTACAACAGTACCCCCCATTAACAGGTTTTATGGTGTCTTGGAAAGTTACAGGGTCAAATATAGAACGTTCCATTTTCAAACTGACATTTGCTAGATTAGTAATGTTACCTTTGAGCCAGTGTGGTAGCCCAGGAATAAGAATTACCCCCATAATGGCATACCATTTGAAAAAGTAGACAACCCAAGGTATTGAAAGTGGGGTATGTTTATTCTTTTTTAGTAGCCACTTAGTCACAAGCATTTCAGACTGTCCCCCTGCTGGCAGATCCACAGCCAGCTATAGGGGGCCATGTGATCGCTCTTTGAGAGCGATCACATGGCCCCCGGGGGCCTCATTTCCCGGGGGAGGGCTGCTTGGGCTGTCAGGCAGCCCTCCAGAAGAGGATCGCAGCGGAGGTAAGTACCGCCGCAACGGCTTTAAAGCCCTTTAAATGCAGGACGGCATAGAACGCCGTAACTGCGTGAAGGGGTTAAGCATTCTTTATTTATTGATGTTTTTCTAGTTAGGGTAGGGTACAGAAAGGGAAGTTCATGTTATGGAAACAACACAATGCATCGTATTATCAGCAAATATAAATCGGGTGTTGACCAAGAGTCGGCAACCAGAGCGTGTCCATCAGATACATTCAAGATAAACAGGCGTTTCAGAGTACATTTTCGTGGTAAATAAGATCGGTTTGGCCACGTTTCAGTCAGACCAGCCAAGCATCCGAAGAGGCCTGTCTAAGAGGTGGTGGACCAGCTAAGCTTGTGTCCTTGCAATGTGCCGTTAGGGTCTTGGCCAAAAGTAGGTCGGAGACACATTGTGATTGTGTATTATCAACTGTCATTGTTAAACTTGGTGGGAGGGGAGGAAGGAGCCAGGTGGTTCGAGCTCCAGGCTGTGCCACAGCTCTTATCAGGTAGCGGGTCTTGTAATCTGGTTACGGTCTAGGGGGAGTGGGAAAACTTGGTGTATGGGGGTAAAACTATCTACAACAGGTGGGTGGCTCATGTGTAGTGTATTGCAGAGGGTGTGGTGGTATATGCAGTGGTTGTAATGGATGTATGTATGAGTATAGAAGAGTGTTAGTTTAGTAGAAGTGGTCCCCCGGTAAACCCGGAGAGGCTAGGGGGGATGAGGTGTAGGCTAGGTGAGTGGGAAATGTGGGTGGAAATGGGTGTTGTTAGCCTTTAAAGTGCATTATGGTTCCGTGTCAGACATTTGGTGCTGTCGGTTCAGTTGTTGCTTGTGGGTGTCTCACAGTCCACTAGGCATACGTGGGGAGGTTGGCAGAGGGAGCTATGGTTCCAGGAATACAGCTTTGTATTCATGACACTTATTGTATTCCATTTTTTTTACTACCTACTGTCAAATTAATTTAATATACCTGCTGTTTAAGCTTTAATAAAGAATGGAAAAAAATTGTAATGTTTAGGTTTATATCAAGTTTTAGCGAATAAACCTTATATTATGTCAACCTCTATTTATTTGGTTATTGACTGTGTCCCTCTCCTGAGCAGACAATTATTTTGGATTTTCTGCTTCAACTCACAGGTGTTAATGGTCCTCAGGGACATTGCCTGAATTAAAAAAAAATAAAAAACACCCACGCCTAAATTAAACCCTTAGGAATAATACGCGTTACATGAGAGAAAAAATAAAAACAACAGAAAAATAACAAATCACTGCTAAGAAACATCAAATTAACTGAGAATTGAGCTTGCTTTTAAGATCAACACAAACAAAATGATTTTTATTGATTAGGCATCACAAGTATAAGCATGTGGACAAAATAAAACCTTTCTGTGTAACCAGCTGTACAAATGCACATACACGGTTTTAAATATTCTCAAATATTTGACAAATACCTAGTATAATTGAAATTTTGTGTTAATTATATACATGATAATTCTGGAATAAATTCAAAGAATATGGTACGTACAAAGTGACCTTGAGATTGAGATTTTGGGGAATTTACAGTAATTCACTTTCCTGCAACAATAACGTGTAGCAGACAAGAAAACCATTTTTCACCATGCTAGCAATTTTCCTCTTTAAAGTGTTATGCTTTTCTTCTGACAGGTAAACTTTAAATATACTGGCCCAGGCATGTATATGTATATATATATATATATATATATATATATATATATATACACACACTCACGCACGCGCGCGCAAATATATATGTGTGTGTATATATTTGTATTAATGTATATACTATTTTGACAAACCAGATAACAACTATTCCCTCTACCACAATACAATGCACCTTTAGCAACTATTTGCCCTAAAATGTGCAATTTCCTTGCCAATGCTTCACAGTGCATTCCTAGGTTGAAGAAGATATAAAGGCAATATGATAAGCATGCAAAAGTATCCCATTTTTAAATCTGATAAATATCAGCTACTTACGGTAATTTTTTGAAACACATATCTTATCAGTGACCAATGGACCTCTTCAGTACCCTGAATTATTTTAGTACATGTACTTTGGAAAGGGTATAGTTTTTATTCATATTATTTATCAGCCTTCACACTGGCAAACTATCATGGGAGTCGTAGATTATCTACCTGGGGATCTAATTTTTAGCCAACCCTTCATTTCACTCTACAGATAACAAGTATGACAACTGCAAGAAAACACCCTTTCCAGCATACAGGTACTAAATTAACACTATCCATGCCAGACTTGAGCTTAGAAACAGTGAATTTATTCGCTAAACTGTGAGTTAAGAATGGAGAAAATATTTGCATATCTGCCAAATGGTTAATTGCAACTATTTTACCAGCTTTGCTATTTTAACCTACAGTTTGCTATTCCCTTACCAGTATTTCACAACAGTTTTAGTAATTAACCTTAGTTGTTAAATTTATTAAACAGTGAAATGTGGATAACAAAATTAGGTCAGTTCACAGGAGCACAGATGGAAAATTCTCAGATTCAGTTACTTCTCTAACTGTGCTATATTAACCTAGAGATTGCAAACCATTTATGGCTATTTTTGGTCTAAAATGTATAATTCACTAGTTTTCTGAATAGCTAATAACCTTTAATACATATAATAATTAAAAATGAATACATTTGGGATTTATTCTCTAAACAGTTAGACCCTGTCAATTGATATTATGTGATTATCAGTTTAGGAGATTATTCTGTAACTATAGTGAAATGAAATACAAGTTGCCAAATGTAAGGCTAAAAAGCAGATAGGGAAACCTAATAATCTGGCTATTTTAACCTAAAATTGCAATTTGATCCACGGAGTACAATTTGTACCCTCATTATTTACTAAGTATAAAACTGTAGCGAACTCTAGATGGTAAAATTCAGCTTAGAATAACCATGTCACTATAGCTGACTTGTCACTTATATTTGCTATTCGGATTTCAATGCGCTTCCGCTATAAATGTAGAGAATACCATTTAGGGATTATTCACTAAAATTAGACGTCTCGAGAATTCAAAGTGATTTTCAGATTTAAAGGATCAGCATTTTCAATCAAAACACCGAGAGCATAATAAGTTATTACTATAAATATAAAGTGATAGTCACTAAACCAGAAAATGAAGGGAATTGTCCAGGTAATTTATGTTGTCATTTAAATCGGTGTATTTGGCTTTAACTTTCAAATTCCATCTTCTCATCAGTACAATTCGAATTAACGTGAATAAATCCCCTTTGACATACTTCAAATCATGGCTATCTAACAAAACTTTCAGTGACCAAAGTTCAACCAAAACACTTACTCTATAAAAAGTATTAGCCTAACCCACTAGATAACGCCTCGAACAAATTATATTCGTAATACAAAAAAGGTACAGTAATGTATACACAGCAATTCTGGTGCAAAGTTCTAAAAGTGGGCAGTCATCAAGAACATGTCATTCCATTCCATGGTGGCTACTACACTATTAGACTTTCGGAACTTTGCCCCAGAATTATTTTGTACAGCCAATATTTCACGAGGCAATCGCATGTAAAAATAACCTCATGATTTAGTCGAAAATTAAATTAATTTGCGTAATTTCAGCCCATTTACTGGACTGACGACCGCAGTTCATAATCAATATTAAACATTCTGTTTGGCTACTGTAACATTCTTTTTGATATAACATTCTTTTTTTTTCATACTTACGTCATCTTTGCTAGTTTTAATCGTGCAGCACAAGTGCAAATGCACACTTGTTTTGTGGTAGTGCAAGACTAGGAAGCCATGATAACGCAACAGAAGAACAGAAACCTCTTACAAAACGTTGACTCGACCTTTCAAAAATATGATTAGTAAGTCTCTGGGGCTAGAAGGTATATTTCAGCAACAGTTTCGTCAACGTATCCATGCGCAGCCTTTATGTCTGCTATGCGACGTTGTGTAACACACTGTTAAAATACCGGCATATTATTCTCTAATGGTGCTCATTTGTTGGGTTCAAGGTTTTAGGTTAATTCATTTTGTAATTAAAATCTTCAGGCTATTTTCCTTCTTTTTTTCTCCGTTTTACCATAAGGGACTTCTTCTTCTCGGAAGCAGTAATGAGTTCAGGCTTTAGATTGCAACAGAATTGCATCAGCTAGGCAGAGCGACATGAGATTTCTCCAGACCTGTCACTAGATTCGAAAGCGGTGCCTTATGATTGGCTGCTGATATAATAGCTTTTTACTCTCCTATGTGGGCTGACGTTGTAAGGTGTTTACAGTGTAACGAGAACTGTAGTTTGACCTGTTGATGTAAGGAAAGCCTTGCGATATTATTTAGATGTCCTTATTTGAATATTCTGTTAAAAAATTAAACATGCAGTCTGAGATTTATATATATATATTTTTAATAATGTAGACAATTAATTTAAGGGAACTTGCTCCTGCTCATACACAAGACGCATTTGATTCATTTTCATTTAGTAATTTCTATAAGTATTTGTTACCTTCAATGCATAACTCAAAGAAGTGCTAATTGCCAGTCTTTTCATCCACTGTATTGTTACGATGTTCATTATTTAGTGCAACCACAAAATCAAAATTTGTGAAATAAATAAAAAAAAATCTATATTTTTATTTATAGAAGGTTGCCCTAGAAGCTAGATCAAGCCAAAAAAGAACTAGTCACATCAGCCATCATTTAAGTCCTTTAACTCTTTTTCTATTCTGTATAAAACTCAGTGCTGGTTAACCCACCAACGTGCGATGTGACCTCTTGCACATACAAATAAAAATATAAACCATACACACATCTAGGTGATGATGACATAGTAAAAAAAGGAGATAAGGGCTGCGCCAGAGAGACTTTATAACATACAGTAATCAGAATAAAAGGTAGTCCAAATAAAAGAATCTTAACTGGAATGATCTTATTAAGATCAGATAGTCTATAAGGTGCTTGGTCAGGAACAATGTCCTCGCTGTCCTTGCCAGGGCAGATCCACTCATATGAAAAGATAAAACAAATAGAGAACCAAATAGTGTAATATGTCCAGTCTAATATAGCAGATAATAAAAAGATGGTAATAAACTTACATATATTAGAGCTATAGCTAGCTCTAGTATGAAGAGCTTACAGCGGTACAATCCCTGCTTATGGGATAGACTTCCTCCGTCAGGGGTATGTTCAACACTCAAAAGAGAAGAGTAAGAGGAGACAACCAATAGTGCTCACTGAATAAAACAATGGTATATAAAATATATGTAAAATGGTACTCACAAGAGAGGAGCAGACCAACTGCTTCTTGATGATAGCGTTAGTGGTATGATCCCCACATAGGATTACTTGGAGTCCAGAATGATAAAATGCCAGGTAAAAAGTAAAAACAGTATAAAGTGTATAAAAAGATGATTGGCACAAGTAAAGTGACCAAAAAATCTTTAATATATTAAAATAAATACACAATATAAAATATCCACAACGCATTTCGCCTTACACGGCTTCTTCAAAATTGAATTTTTTTTATTTATTTTTATGATGACACAGTGCCTATAGTTACCAATTGTAGTTATGAAGTTTACTGACACAAAATTTGTTAATTTTTAGAAACTATTAGATGTTGGATCGTAACTATAAATGCACAGACCAAGCTTAAAGCGGCACAGTCATGGCTGCATCCATTTTTTTTTAATCCCAGTCCTGACTCCTCTAATTGTCTCCCTAGTCATCCCCAAATGCCCCTAGGTCCCCCATTTCACACTTTTTAACCTGTTGATTTAATTAGTGTGGTCCAACACGCAGAAACTATGTAAACATATACATAAAAAAGGAAAGGAAATAAAAGGACAGAGCGTAAACCGGACCTTAGAATGGCCGGACTAATACGCTAGAGATAGAGAATATATCGGCAAGGTCGTGCCGGTTGGGCACGGCTGCGCCATGCGGTGGGCCGGGAGCCGCAACAGTAACCCCCCCACTCGAATACCGCTCACCGGGCAGGAAGGAGCCGGCTTATGAGGGAAGCGGTTGTGAAACGACCGGATAAGACGGGGCGCATGAACCTGGTCAGCAGGAACCCAACAACGTTCCTCAGGACCATATCCTTTCCAGTCAACTAGATAAGACAACATACCCCTGGAGATTTTAGAGTCCAATATAGAATGAACTTCGTACTCCTCCTGATCACCCACTACGAAGGGCGGAGGAGGGGTAGCCACTTTAGTGTATCGATTGCAAGTAAGAGGTTTAGAGGACCACTCTAGGCACCCAGACCACTTCAGCTTAATGAAGTGGTCTGGGTGCCAGGTCCCTGTAGGGTTAACCCATTCTCAGAGAAACTGCTATGTTTACAAATGGGTTAATCCTTCCTCCAATTCCTCTAGAGAAAATCACAGTGAGAGCACGCAAGCGTCCATAGGAAAGCATTGTAAATGCTTTCCTTTGCGAGCCGCTGAATGCGCTTGCAGCTCTTGCCGTGCATGCGCATTCAGCCGAATGGGAGGATCGGAGGAGGAGAGCTCCCCGCCCAGCGCTGGAAAAAAGATAAGTTTTTACCCCTTTCCTCTCCCCAGAGCCGGACGGGAGGGGGACCCTGAGGGTGGGGGCACCCTCAGTGCACTTTAGTGCCAGGAAAACGAGCATGTTTTCCTGGCACTATAGTGGTCCTTTAAGCAAGGACACATGAAATGAATTGGCAATTCTCATGTGAGCAGGAAGTGCCAATGAATAAGTCACAGGGTTGATACGACGGAGGACCCGAAAAGGACCTATGTACCGAGGGGCAAATTTCATGGAAGGAACCTTAAGTTTGACATGACGTGTGGATAACTACACCTTGTCTCCTGGTTGATAGACAGGATTGGCACACCGTCTCTTGTCAGTTTGTATTTTAGCACGTTTTGATGCCTTCTATAGTGCTGTATGAACGGAATCCCATGTGTCATGAATAGAATCCAAACGGGTGTTCAAGGCAGGAATATCAGTGTCTGAAAATTCAGAAGGTAAAACAGTGGGGTGATAACCCTGATTTACAAAAAATGGACTATGATTAGAGGATTCATGAGTCGCATTATTTCTGGCAAACTCAGCCATGGGTAAGAGTTCGTACCAGTTAGACTGATTGGCATCGATAAAACAACATAAATAAGTTTCTAAAGACTGATTGGCCCTCTCTGCTGCGCCATTAGTCTGATGGTGATACGCTGAGGAAAATGAAAGTTCTATACCCAATTGCTTACAAAAGGCACGCCAGAACCTAGAAATAAATTGGGTACCTCTGTCAGATACTATGTTTTTTGGCACCCCATGTAAACGAAAGATCTCTTTCAAAAATATTTGTACAAGATCTTGAGCAGATGGTAATTTTCTAAGAGGTACAAAATGTGCCATTTTTGAGAATCTATCTATGACCATAAGGATTGTGTTAAATCCGTTTGCACTGGGCAGATCCACCATGAGATCCATGGCTAAATGGGTTCATGGAGCATTAGGTATCGGCAGTGGTTGTAGCAGCCCAGGAGGAGATTTGCGAGAGGCTTTAGAAACAGCACATATTTGACATGCCCCTACATAATCTTTGATGTCGTTCCTAAGTGTAGGCCACAGAACCTCCTGGAGATAGCAGAGAGAGTTTTATGGACTCCAGGATGACCTGTGGTCAAATTATCATGGAATAATCCAAGTACCTTTTTTCTTAATGGTGGTGAAACGTACAGTTTATCTGAAGGTCTCTCCACTGGTGCCTGAGTTTGATCTGCTATTATGGCACAGAAGAGTGGAGACACTTCGGAAATTGTAGTGGCAATAAGGCATTCTGGAGGTATGATAGGGAATACCTCTTGTTCAGGAACCTCAACTGTCTCAAACTGCCTAGACAGCGCATCTGCCTTGGTGTTCTTGGTCCCGGGCCTATATGTAATTACAAAATTGAATCGGGAGAGGAACAATGACCATCTAGCCTGACGAGAGGACAATCTCTTAGCGTCCCCAATATAAGCCAAATTCTTATGATCGGTAAAAATCAGAAGTGGCTCTTTGGAACCTTCTAAGAGATGCCTCCATTCTTTGAGGGCAAGTACAATGGCCAATAACTCCCTATTCCCAATGTCAGAATTTTTCTCTGCAGGTGTTAGTTTTCGAGAGAAAAACCCACAGGGATGTAAAGGCGCATTGGGACTTTCTCTTTGAGATAGAATGGCTCCTACTCCTGTTTCTGACGCATCTACTTCTAGAATAAATGGTTTGATCGGATCGGGATGTGTTAGGACAGGTGCTGAGGCAAATAAAGATTTTAATTGCTCAAATGCCTCCTTCGCTTCCTTGGGCCATGAATTGCAATTTGCTCCTTTTTTGGTTAGGTTGGTAATAGGAGAGATTACAGAGGAAAAACCTTTAATGACCTTGCGGTAATAATTTGCAAAACCTATAAAGTGTTGTGTAGCTTTAAGGCCTTTGGGTACTGGCCATTGTAAGACTGCTTCCAATTTGCGTGGGTCCATTTTGAAACCAGACGGAGATATAACATACCCCAGAAACTGTATCTCAGTCTGGTCAAACTGGCATTTCTCCAGCTTACAGTAGAGGCCGTTCTTTAACAGGGTTTTTAGTACTGTTCTCACATGTTCGTGATGTGTCTCTAAATCTGGGGAATAGATGAGAATGCCGTCTAGATACACTAAAACAAACATGTGGAGATATTCTCTAAGGACATCGTTAATGAAATCCTGAAACACCGCTGGGGCGTTGCACAGTCCAAACGGCATAACTAGGTATTCGTAATGTCCCATTCTCATATTAAACGTTGTAATCCACTCGTGCCCTTCCTTAATTCTGACTAGGTTGTAAGCACTTCTGAGGTCGAGTTTAGTGAAGACTCGCGCCCCTTTCAACCTATCGAATAACTCAGAAATAAGGGGAATGGGATAGGCATTTTTTATTGTTATTCTATTCAAACCCCTATAGTCTATACAAGGGCGTAGGTTTCCTTCTTTTTTTAGAAACGAAGAAGAACCCAGCCCCAGCAGGTGAAGAGGTTCTACGTATGTGACCCTTTCTGAGAGTATCCTTTATGTGCTCTTCTAAACAAAGATTTTCTTGGGGAGATAGTGCATATACTCCTCCTTTAGGGGGCATAGTGCCTGGTAACAAATTTATGGCACAGTCGTAGGGTCTATGTGGTGGTAATA